ATGGCAGTGGAAGATTGGACCATGTGATGGATTTGTGGGTATGGGGGCAAGATCATGAACTTTCAACTGGGTGGGGAAACCCAGGAAGCTTTCAGATTCGGGTTTTCCACAGATGTGCCAACATGTCTCTCTTAATAAATTGGAAGTTTGAGGAAAGTTCTGCCTTGGACTCTGATTTAATTTTGGATGATTTTTGGAACGCTGACATTAACCCGAATCCACTTCCGGTCAGGTGACATGGGTAATAGAGAGGAATTTTATTTTGTATGTCATCTGGGGGGGAGGGGGGACTTAAATCTACATGTGCACATTTTGACTTAAATCTATACTTGAAGTTTTTCTTTCTTACTCTATTGTATCATTGTCTTTCTAATTTTGAAGTTCTTTCTGGAATTCCTACATAGATTCTTGACTGCAAAGACATTTTCTGGCTCATGACAATCTTACACTGCATACTACAAGAAGTCCTTGCTTAATGACCAGTCCTTAATGGCTTTTCAAAGTTACAGTGGACCTCCCAAAAGCCAGTTCAGCACCCTCTCAGTTGTCTGGCCTTACAACCGGTTGCAGAGACACTGCAATCCCCCCCTACACACCACCGGGTCCCTACAGGTCTTTTCTCACACTCACACACACACACACACACCAAAAACCAGGTCCCACACCTTCCTCCTCATTTGCCTTTTGAAGAGTTCCAGAGGCTTCTGGAACAGATCACTTCATCACAAGGCCGCGCAGCATGATTCCAGAAGCAGCTGCCATGTTTCCAACCGCCACATTGAATTGTCACTGGGAACAATGGCTGCTTCCGGAATTGCGCCGCGTGGCTACACAACAAACTGTTGTGTTGTGCTTCCCTAACAGTCTGCACAGCACTCCGGGAAGTTTTGGGGCCCTTTGGGGAGGAAAACAGATCACTTTGACATGCAACCATGTGGCGCAATTCAGGAAGTAGCCACCCTGTTCCCAGAAACCTCAGCGTAGCTGCTGGGAACATGGCTGCTTTCAGAATCGCACCACGGGGCCATGCGATGAAGCGCTTTGGGACCCAGTGGGAGAGGGAAAGGCCTGGGGGGACCTGGTGGGTGGGGTAAAGCAGGCCCAAGGTCTGTGGAAACCACAAGAGCTATGAAATGAAGCATGGGATAGCTTGGGGTGGGCAACAATTTGGAAGGCCCAGGGCGGGCAGGCCTGCAGTAGACCTCCCAAGGCCTCTCTCACCTCTGAGGCACCCAATGGTCTGCTTAATGACCCATGCAGTCATTTTAAGTACTGCTTTAGGGAGAGATGGGGTGGGGGTCATTAAAGCCCATCTTGACATGTGACGATAGTGGGCAGGCTCCATTACAGTTCAGTGGTGGGTTCTGGATTCACATGGATGCACACGGCGCGCGCATGCGTTGTAGCTGCAAACGACGCCTCCACAACGCTCCTTGGCGGACCGTCGCGCAGCCACTGTGTGCGGAAAGCTTTAAAACATGGTAAGGA